GCTAAGGATAAGATAAGCTAATCCTAATCTGATAACTTACAAGATAAGATAAGAGCAATAAAATAAGATAAGAACAAGCAAGATAAGCTAATCTAATCTGGATGAGACTGTTGCTGCCGAACTGGGTAGACTGAGAATCACTGAATCATTACTGCTGCTGGTGGTGGGTCAGGTTTTTGCTGCTGCCGGCGGCGATGGTATGTCTTCCCGAGGAATGCGTCCATAACACCATGCTTCTCTTATTTCCTAGAGGGTGTTTTCTTAATGGGATGGATGGGGGAATTTGGAGTGGATCAACTTGGCAGTTTACTTTTCTTTCTTTAAGGCCCTTGTTCCTAACCTTAGTCTCAGTTGGCATTTCCTGTCAAAGCAATTTGGCCAAGGCCCATTCCTCCTAAGTTTATGGTTTTTGTTGGAAAACAATTCATTTAAAGACCAATACTTATGAGGCAATCTAAAAGAGAGGGCCTCACCGGAACCTCTTGCCTCACACTTGCTTCTTTTGTAAGGGAAGTTGCAATACATGCAAATCTTCTGTCTTTTTGTAAGCATTATTTGGGAAAACATTTTTGCTCTCTTTGGTGCTAGCTTGACTTCTCACCACCAAGGAGGTGCCATGGAGATGCATGAGATCATCCATTCTATGAATGGTTTGGCAAGGAATAAATTGCCTAGCGCTGCAAGTTGGGCTGGGTTAGGTCGGGTTGAGGCCAACCCTAGCCCAACCCTAAGTTCTAAACCCCAACCCTAACCCTAACCCAACCCGACCTTCAACCTGACCTACCCAACCCGACCTTCAACCTGACCTACCCAACCCTAACCCTAACCCTAACTAAATTCCTTCAACCCTAACCCAACCCAACCCAAAGTCAACTTCGGGTTGGGCTGGGCTGGGCTTGGGTTGGGCCCAACCTAAGCTTCTTCCCATCCCTTAAAATCTTGTAGAACTTCTTAATCTTAGATCTTAACTCTACTTTCATTATGATGACTTATAAATTATAATAGATCTTTTATGGGCAGCAAGCTATGAGTCGCAAATAACAGAGAGAAGATAAAGAATAAAATATTCAAAAAATATAAAATATGTTATCAAGGTTTTAGTATTTCCAATTAGGATTAAGGGAAGTGATTATCTTAAATATGTGGTAGTGGCTATACAACTATCATGTATCTAAACAAATCAATGTATGATCATATATGTAACATATATTTATATATGATATGTACTATAGAGTCGGGTTCTTCGGGTTACCCAATGAGTCAACCCTAACCCAACCCGAAGTAAAGTCGGGTTCATAAATTTCAACCCTAACCCTAACCTGAGCATCAACCCGGCCCAACCCAACCCGACTTTTTTGGATTGGGTTCGGGCTAACCCGACCCAAGTTGCAGCCTTAGAATTGCCAGGATCTTTCTGATAAATCTTTGCCCAAAGAATCTACTTGTAAAGTTGATACAAGTCAGACATTGATTGGGTAAAGAAAATGGTGGAATTTTCTAATTACTCCGTTGATGACATATTAAGGAGGGATGACAAGCAGTGTTGTTGACTCCCAGAGGAGATAGGCCTAGCATACTATGGGTCCTGCCACAATTACATATTCACATGATCAAATTAAATTTTGATGGGCAGAACGGGCAAACAAGGACCAATCTGGTGTAAGAGATGTTTTCAGGATTCATGTACAGAGATCCTTTTGGTGTTTTCTGGGTCAATGGTTATTGGAAATTCAACATGATCTGAACTTCAGGGGTGCTTGAGATTGGCAAGAGACGGGAGTCAAATTGTGGAGACTTGATGTTTGAAGGGGACTAGAAAAGTCTGTTGCTTGGTTGAAAGGACAGGTGGCAGGTCCGTGGTATGTTAGACATCAGATTAGAGCAGCAAGATCTGTAGCCTGTGCCTTGGGAGCTGTTTTTGCATGGATTATATAAAGATCTGCTAGCATACTTGCTGATTCCTTGACTCGTGAAGGAATTTCTAGTGATGACATTGTGGGAGACAGGAAGTTACTTTTGGGATGAACAAAGCCTTGTGTTTGGAGTCTGGATCCTTGTAGCAATATTGAGTATTTGAGTTGTCTCTCTATAGTGTATATATTTCAGTATTAATATTAATAAAAAAACCAATTATCGGTCAAAAAGGGGAAATTAAGAAGGCTTAATCCTAGCAGCAGATTTTCTTGTGAAATAGAGGATTGATAGGGCATTTTGTTTAGCAGAAAGTTTATGCTTGACATGGTTTATTACATGAGATAGATTGTGAATATATCTTTTTTTTAGGTATTAATCACTGCCTGACACCCCCATAGGGGTCGTTACTCTATTAAGTGAACTTTACATCACATCAACAACTTCAAGTAATCACACAATTCTTTTTCTTACAGAGATGATAATAATGGGATTTGAAACTACACCGCCGCTGGGACAATTCATCCAGCGCACCAACTGGGCTACCCCCCAGTTGGTTGTAAATATATCTAATGTAAACATCTTTTGATATAAACAATGTTCAAAGTGTTGACTAGTCATCAATTAGTCAATTGACTAGAAAATTGAGGATCATACAGCCTGCATCACTAACAAGTCAGATGACACTCATAATGCAGTTTGTTGGGAAAACCAAGAACCAACTAGGTGGATTTGTCGATTAATGATTAGTCAACCTAGTAGGCCACAACTTTGTTTTAAAGCTTTATTTGTTTTGTTTTATGGTGATGCAAACTAAATGTTTGCAAAACAAAGAATGTAAAATAAATATTCTATGCTACTCTTTTTTATTGTATATTGCAGTCTATATTAACGTATCTGTAAGGTCGCAACAGGATTAAAAAATTTATAAGCCCAATACCCGAAGTTGGGTATCAGTGCGTATCGATATCACTTATATTCTCTTTTTTATTTTTTTTATCTTATAATCATTGAAGGGTTGGGGCCCACAATTCAAAAGTTCTAAATTTTTGTAGAATGCTTTTGAATCAGTGTATCCATGCATTTCTGGATGCACTAATATGGAATCGTATCACTGTTTTAATCCGTAGATTGCATTTTTGGAACTGGGCAAATATTCAACACCTATGCATTGAACAGAGAAGCCAAAACAACTAGGTGTCACCTCATCACATTGATAACATTACTATATAGTTTTCTTCTTACAACAGCAACAGTGTAGATGACTGTAAAATTAAGGTTGGTGGTTCGGATACCTCAAGGAGATCAACCCTTCTTGTAGGAAGTTGTTACCTTGGTTTGATAGGTCCACACAAGGGGAGATTGAAAAGGATGCTTCTTTTTAAACACAGGAAAATGTGATGGGAGTTTGACATTTGTTGTAGGATTTTATTGGCAAGCAAATGATGCACCTCTTTTGTTATATTTTTGTACATGGAACCTGATTATGTGTATTGGGTTATCATGGTCTTGTACCAGGGACATACAAAACCAGTTCATTCTGTATGTTGGGATCCTTCTGGCGAACTATTTGCATCTGTGAGCGAGGATTCTGTCAGAGTATGGACTTTTGGTTCTGGCAATGAAGGGGAGTGTGTTCATGAATTGAGCTGCAATGGGAACAAATTCCACTCGTGTGTTTTCCATCCCTCGTATTCTTCTTTGTTGGTGATTGGCTGTTACCAGGTAAGTTACCCCTTCAGCTCACAATTTCCTCCCTAGTTTTGTCTATTAACCTGGTCTGCATGGCATTTAATCATCATCCTCAATTCTGTTTACTCTGTAGCATTCTTTATGTGCTATAAGTAGGACAAATGCATGACTCATCTTGTGAGCATTGCATCTAAGTGTGGCCTTGGCCCTTGGATGGTTGTTCCAGGATTTTTTTGGGTTGCAAAAAATGGGTCACCTTCACTGGTCCAAACATCATATATCCAAAGAGTAAATATTTCCATTTAGTAACTTGTCCCAGGAGAAACGAGTTAAAACGTGCCATCCATGTAATCGAATATGCTATATGTGGTATTTGATTTATATGACAATTTCAGATTGTCACTGTCATAGACTCGGTATATGTGGTTTTGGCAATAAATTTGGCAGAGAACAGTACATCCAATGATTATGTTTTTGTGAAATATTGAAATGTGCATTTTGCTGCGATATTTGTTGAGATAACAAATGGAGCTATGTTACATTAGATTTACAATGAATTGACTGATTAACATGTAACGGTGGCATTTCTACAGTCCCTGGAGCTTTGGAATATGTCTGAAAACAAGACAATGACTCTGTCTGCACATGAAGGTCTAATTGCAGCCTTGGCAGTATCAAATGCAACTGGGTTGGTGGCATCTGCCAGTCACGACAAGTATGTCAAGCTCTGGAARTGATTGTTGTTTCAGCGCATCATAGATAGAGGGTGAAACTGTTGTCTTGTGTGTTCATATAACCATTTAGGTCTAACAGCTCTTTGTGAGTGGTTTGTTACAAATTTGCAGTAGGTCTAGCAGGGAAAGAAAAGGGACGCTAGATCATGTCCATTGCTTCTTTGTTTTAGCCCCCTTCAACCCCATCTAACATCACAAGAATCCTTTTGTAGCATCAGATGCTAACCATGTGGCCAATTGTTGTAGTCTGTGGTATTAGCCAGTTATTACTATTACAACCCAAGCTAGCGGAATGTGTCATTTGAGTGCTTATTTATGTTAACAGTAACACATGCGAGTCTTTGCATAGACTTAAGTTATAATTTTGTAATGTATATACTTTATATGTGCTGATTTTCAAATCCATTTTCATGCTTTCCTTTTGCTCTCAAGTCTGGAATTAAAAAAAAAAAACCCGATGAAAACAGGAAACAAAAGCCCAAACATTAGAGATCTGACTATCCAAACCGAGATTTGGTGCTTGCGTGATGGTTCCATTGAGCCCGGTCTCCTGTACTTGTATGTTAAATTATGGGGAGATATTCGTAATGTGTGGTTGGATGCCCGTAGAATTTTTGTTTGTTGTAATGGCGGATGGATCCCATTCCCATCAGCCATACAAAGCTGCAGGGAAGCTCTCTACTTTGCTCAAAAACTACAATCTTTTTTCATACACGCATGCCCCCTCTTACCTCCTAGCATGAAAATATATTTTGCCTAATGCGCTATATAAGCCATGAGATTGTGCTAGTAAACCTCACTGGCCAATGCTGTCGAAATTTGAAGTTGACAATGAACACGYGAGTCATTTTCTTATTACTTAAAACATAAAAGATGCGAGGAAGAAGACACTAAGCAAATTCATTAAAAAGTTGGTTCATGAATAAAAAAGTGGAAGAAAAACATGAAAGTCACCATGCGGAAAATTATCTAAAACTCACCAGGGTTTTTCAGCATTTCTTTTAAACTCATCATAATTTTTCAAAACGTCCATGAATCTCATGTGAGTAAGTTGACCATTCACCATTAAATAAACTAACGGATGTTAGTAGAATTTTACCTTTTGTTAAGACAAAATTTTGATAAAAAGCAAATAAAAATATATCTCAAATATTTCAGTCTAAATTTTCTTTTGCCCATTTTACATATTTAAGTAAAAAGGAGCCTCAAATAATAATAAAAAAAGAATGCCATTGATTCAAATCAAAYTCTTTTGTGGCTCCATATCTACTTGCACAGCACAACTGTCACTATAGACCCAATATCCACTTCTATCTAATGTCAACTAGAACAAAAGTGTATATTGAATAAAAATTAGGCTGGCATGCCATTCAGGGGCACTTTGGTGGACAAATTCTGTCAATGAACACTAATGGTGCTCCAAGGGATTGTGGGTTTTGGAAAACAAAAGGTCACTAGCATGGGGTTTTCTGGACGTTTTTAAAAGTTATGGCTAATTTAAGAGAAATGCTGAAAAGTCATGGTGAGTTTTAAACAATTTTCCCCTAAGGCTCAGTTTGGAAAGAGTACAAATGCAAATATGTACAGCATAAATACATACAAAATAATACAAAATATAAGGTTTTGCGCTCTACATATTTGCATTTGTACTCCTTCCAAGAGTACAAATACAAATATGTACATTACAAAATCATACAAAATATAAGCTTTTGCATTCTATATATTTGTAAAAGTGAATACGAGGAAAATGAAGAATAAATTATCAAAAAAAAAGGGAGAGAAGAAAACTGAGAATTTAACTGACAAGAGTTTCAAATTTTAGAGGTGTATTTGAATGTTTTACTGAATTATGACCACCTGACGTCTGAAAAAGTATATATAGTTGTCACTATTTTCGATCCACTACCAGCAGTATGAGTCAAACGATGTACAGTAAAGCACATGCATGGTTCTCTGTTCCCGGTGGTGTAGCATTCTGCCTGCAAAAGGGCCTCCTTTTGTGACCCTTCACTGACCTTTTTATCTGTGCTGAACCCACCAATGATTTCCAATGTTCCCTTTTGAAGACTATTACAAATCACTTCTCTCATCAAGGCCAATTCTTTCCTTTGAAACCATTAATAAACACCTCCCAGCTCTGAAATTTTAGCTTATCTACTCGACTGACTTGYGTAGCAACACGTTTTGGGGCTGATCCTGTGTAGATTTGCTGCTTCTTTCCTTGTGTTTCATGCATTGGCAAAAACCCTTTCTCTCTAAACCATTATATTCATCACATTCTTGATTGAAGAGTCGGCTTGTACTCAGACATACAACTAGAACTAGTATTTGGGCTCTCAGTTTTTGTTCAGTCAAATGAGTTAGCAAGTTTCCTCTATTCCATGTGCATCTGCTTCTCTTGCCGGTATTTGAACTATTGGCAGAAACCCAGGTAATATATGGTTCGAATTTAGGCTTTCAATTAGCAGATGAAAACCGCTCCAGGGCTAGCTCCCACCATTGCTGCCCCAGCTAGCTACAGTACTCTATCAAGATAAAATGGACCCATCAACCCGTGAGACAGAGATGATATGTCTACACTGATTTCTTTGTATTTCTTAACTATTCAAAAGAAGTTTGTAAACTATTTCCTTTACTTATTAGTGGCAGTTCACAAGTAAGAAGATGCAAATTTAATCAACCCAGTAATTGTCCTAATGAGCTTCTGAGTTTCAGTTAGGGGCTTAGAAAATGTCTGTAGAATGATTTTGAATTCAATTGATATAAACACATCAAGACAAGTATAACCATGGGGTTAACTAATGGGTGATTGAAAGGAGATATAATAAGGTACATAGCTGGATGCTTTTGCAAATAGTCGTCAAGTAACCTCGATCTTGTGGATGGAGAGCACATGATGAAGAGCTAGACCAAGTAATAATGATTCAATGTGGTGGTATTACTTTGGCAATCCCTCAATCCTGTTGGATGATCCCAACCTTTTGATTATATTGTTGATTTGGGATGGCTCAAGAAATTGAGGTTCAGCTTCTTGGGCCCATCATTTTAGGTGCTTTGGCCTCAACCGGGGATCCTCCAATTGGTGACCCTCTTCCTCTTGTGCACCCTACAAGGCCAACCTCGGAAAGCTTTACTCGAGTTGGGGATCTCAAATGCCAATTCCCTTCAGATAAACATTGGAAAGAACCTAGATAGTCTTGAGTTGTAAAGTTAAGCTGAATGTCAACATAATTAACAAGTGACAGATAAGGTCTTACTTTCCAAGTCTTATATCCTTTAAAAACTTAATCCCTCGTACCCTTCAATACGCCAAATATTGTTAGCAACCAACCTTACATATTTTAAGAAACTGTTGATTATCTTGATGTACAAGAAAATCAGTTTCTTAGCATCAAGTGGATAGGTAGTACAAGGCGCCAGATGGTTCAATTGGTATGGTCTGTCTGGTTGTAGCGAGACTTTGGATCAGATCCTGCCTAATTAGGGTTCACTGTGGATTTACCACGGCAACCCGAACCCAACCTCATGTACTTCATTTTGTTATCTATGCATCAAGAAAGAAAATGATACTTCCGTGAGGAGAGAGAGAGACCGACGAAATCCCATTTCTTGATTTCTCCAACGAGGGTCTACAATTGGAGCAAAAGAATGAAGAATTAATGGAAAGGTTTGTGCACAAAGTTGGAGAGGCATATGAAGAGTATGGGTGGTTTAAGTGGCATACCACTGATTTGAGGTGTTTCGAATTGAGGATACGGTTAAGATAGTCCTGTCAACTGGATGGGGCCGAGGTGGAAGGGTGAAGCCGTACATCGAGATCTATAACCATAGAAGAGTTAGAGGCCCGAGGAATTAGGCAGGAATACTCACCACTATACTACAACGACCTGTTGATTAATTTTCTCACAAATTATAATTCAATTTAAGAAATTCTAACATTATGCAACCAGAATGACAAAAAAATAATCTACGGTTATATCATAATATTGGACCAATCATCGTTTGCCACCTCATGATGGAATGTGAGTGATGTGGCATATCATGTTCGGCACAGCTAGAAGTATGATCTTTTTTTGGTAATAATTATTATATTATATTATATATCTTCTAAATAATAAACAACTGGAAGGAAGCTCTGCATATATAATCCCWAGTTCCACTCTAAGGATGTGTTTCTCTACCTTTTCCTTCAAACCAAACACAGCATAATTTAATGGGATTAATGTTGTAAGACTTGAGCGGGATAAAAGATCAGAATGCTCCGAAATGTTCATTTATTTGTTATACGCAAGGCTCATGCTGAAATAGATTGGTTCTTTAGGATCCCATTGGCAACTCCGACACTCTTGGCCCCTGTAAATTTTTTAAAAGAGAACGTCGATGCTATTTTTAAATAAGGCGTGGGTTCTGTTGGATTAAATGAGTGTTTGATTTTGTTTACGTTTATTAATAAATGCTTTGTACTTGTATGAATGCGAAACCAAGATACACATTTAATGAGGGCGTTTATGATATATAGGCGTCATTAGGCACCACATCAGCAAAATGTCAATAAATATCTATCCATTTTAGGAAGCTCTAAAACGAAACTTCCTGAAATAGAAGAGGCACACACAGAAACCAAAGTTTATTTTTACAAACTTCGATACACACAAATGCAATTAATAAGGCATTTGCTGATGGGATATCATATCTATATGACACCATTAATAAACGTAAACAGAACCAAACGTATACTAAATCATTCAGGATCATATTGGTACTGTTCTTCTTGCAACAGCTCTGCCTATTAAATGTGAAAGTTCCATCATGRCTGAACCTTTGACTCTTTATCATGATCTAATTTTAGCCCAAGAGCTTTAATTATCATATATTATTATTGAAGGTAATGCTTATAGTATTTCCAAACTCATGTTGGTGGATGATCTCCATCCACGATGCTAGTTTATCCAAGAGCCTTTTATCTAACCTTCATTCTTGTTCGATCGGTGAACTATATGTGGGACAGACGGCAAATGTTGCTGCTCGTTTAGTTGCCACTTGCCAGATGGGGTGGTTTATCTCTATTTAGACTTTTTACTTGGTCTATTATTCTAGATTTTTTATGTAATACTGTTTAAAGACTCTTCATCGAGTTAATGGAATTCTACCTACTGGCTTCTTTCAAAATAAATAAATAAAAATCAGAATGCTCCATGAATCCTAATTTTTATGGTTAAAATTAAATCATTCAATTCAATAGGGGTGATTTGCATTTGATTTGATTTTTTAATTGGATCCTATTACCATAGCATATTAAAAAATCTCAATATCTAAATCCAATAAAATTGGATTGAATTTAAATCCATATCAAATTATAATTTAGTCTATATTTCTTATATACAATCAAATTTAACTTTTATAACTTATACGAAAAAC